TCCACAGAGCCTACCGGTACATCCATCAGTGACTCCATGGGTGTGGCTAGGTGGCTCTTACCCTGGTGTCCGTGGTGCGCTTTTACGTCAACGTAACCCAGAAACGATTTTTGCAGCATGGGCCTCATCGGCACCCGTTCACGCTCAAGTGGACATGTGGGCGTATTATGCTGCTGCTCAGCGAAGCTTGACGGTAAATTGTTCCGCGGATTGGGTGGCAGTCACTAGGTGTGTTCTTTTTTTACAGGGATGTACAATTCGACCTTCAATTGATATGACGCTTTCCTCTTTGAAGTTATGTTGACAATGTACTTCGAGGAACTAATACAACCCTCATAGAGGATCTCAAGTTTGATTTGCTCAAGGCCCGACTGAGTGGCCCGGGAGGAAATACCAGTGGCGCTGACGGGTTAACCAAAGAGCAGGCCAACAAAACTAGTGACGTGGATGTTGCCTCCATCCTCATGGATCCTCTCAACTTTTACCAGGTAAGTAGCATTGAATTTCGATGTTTTATGTTTAGCGGCCCATGGATTCTACAGTACTATGGCTTTTCTGCCTCAATTTTACCTTTCTGTAACCTCCTTGAAACCAGAAATTTTACCTCGAATTCTGCGGAGAATGGTATCGTATCACTTTCAGGAGTCGAGGAAACCTTCCAGGCTTTCCTTGTCGCTCTCGCAGAACTCGATTATGATTCTATCCCAGGGTCTCCTGATGACCCCGTTGCAGATATGTCTTGGATGAGGCAGTATTGTTCTGAATACGGTGCGCACAAAAGAAATGGTAGTCCTTAATCGCATGTGTCTAATATATGCTTAGGTTTTTACCAACGCGGTAACCCGGATAACCCACTATCCATCGAAACTTCCTTCCAGTCGTTGGAATTGTTTCAACAGCAGTGTAATGAAGCTTTCTCCGATCATCTTCCAAGTTGGCCTCAGGTGGAAAATATTAACAAATATGGAGGGTGGGATATGAGGCCTTCCAATATCATGTTTGCTAACGGCGAATGTGAGCAACAATCTTTCCATCGAAGACGATCCATGCTTACTCTGCTCCTTCATAGTTGACCCATGGCGGACGATGGGCCTAGCATCCATCGAGCCAAATAGCCCTCAAAGAAAACCTTCAGTCGTTGTTCCAGGATGCAATGTCCCATCAAACGCGACAACATTCTTCGGAATAACGTATGATAACATGGTCCATGTTTCGGATATGCGAGTACTGCTGGTTCCGGACTCGAACCACACGGATTTCAAAACAGTCGGATTTTACAGCCCTGTCTCGCAGGCGCCGTTTTATACAGGGCTCGGACTATTCCAGCTGGCATTGGATGAATGGCTTCCTTGTTTCGCAGCAAATTCCGGGTGAAGTCAACGGTGTAGATTGGAAGGTGTAGAATTTACTTGCTTTGGATTATTGTATCTAAAATGAAAAGATGTGCTGCTACATCTCCAAAAAGTCTTCCTCTTCCTCAACCAGAGCATCCAATAGCTTAAAGAAGCTCGCCATCGGAAAACCAACTACGTTTTGATAGTCACCTTCTACCTTCCTCACGAGGATACCACCCATGCCCTGAATAGCAAAACCCCCTGCACGATCCAAGCCTTCTCCAGAGTCAACGTAAGCTTGAAGGATGTGTTTAGGGTTATCGGCAAAGTAAACCAAAGACCGTTCGTCAATCGAATGGAGTCCGTAACCTGGCGCAGTGAGGATCGGGTACGCCACAGTCACTCCGGTGACAACTTCACAGACTTGACCATTTAGATCCATGAGCATCCGCAAATTGTCTGCTTTGTCTTTGGGCTTCTCGAGCAATTCTTGACCAATAGAAGGAAGCAGGGTATAATCGGTCTGCGAAGTAGATGGCTGGGCATGTGTGAGAACTACTGTGTCGGCTGCAATGACAAGATCTGGAGCATTGTCTGGATCTTCAGCCTATATATGTTAGTTCCCGTCAGCGTAGTGAAAACAAGAGTGTGGAAGTATACGCACCACTAGCCTTTCATAAACCTCTACCGCTTTATGGCTTGCCGTAGAGACAGGATACTCGTGTATATCTACGAACGATGCAGGGGAGAGATCTTCTTCAAATGTAGAAGGAACTATGTCTGGCGCAAGTCCCTACTAGCAGGAAGTAGTACATTGGTGTAAGTTGGTAGAGAAGCAAGATCTACACCCACGATAGTTCTTAGGATGTCCCGTCTTCTGGGGCTGTTTGAGGCAAGAACAATCCGCTTTCCAGCAAGTTTCTTTACAGCTGGAACCGGCAGCGCGTGTGGAAGAATATGCTGAGATGAAAGCTCGCGCGACATATTGGAATGAGTGAAAGTAATTATTGTTCTATCAGAACTTGAATGAGAATCTACATCATGTACATGATCAGTGACAATCAAAGCTAGAGTCACAGTCACACGTGGCTCATTATTCGCGATCAGCGTCACACCGGTTCTCTTTGCAGTAAACCACCATCGGTGAACCCTTCGCAGCACCCAATCGACATTTCTCAGGCCTTCAAGCCGTGTCTTTTCCCATCTCTAACGCTCCAGATGCCCGTCTATGATGCCTTGAACCCGTCCTACCCTGGTCTTTCTTCTCCTCCAGCCGCATGATGCACTTCTCGTCTAACCAGAAGTGATATCTAACCCTAAGTTCTTTTGGGCTACTGTGTATCCTTCACCTTTTTGCTTGCTATGCTTGTGCTCCAACTGGACTGTAGAGTAACAGTTCTGAAGGTCATGTTGATGGAAACTTCACGCCGGACGTTTTTCGCTTTGTCTATTGCGCGGATATTGACCTCCGAATACACCGACACACTCGCCTGCAATGACACTTCTCATTATCCTCTACCGCCTCTCCGGAAAGTGCTCGATTTCATGCCATCTCGACAGCTTGACATCTCGAACAGAACCTAGCCTGTATCGTCTCGGGACCCCTTTTTCCTTCTCTCTTTCGCGTACAGAATGCTGCTTTTGGCGTGCTTTCTAAAATGGGAGTGAGGTGCAAAGGGAAGACGATGCCGGAAATGCTTGGGTTTTTACTCGCGTTGTGTTGAGTGCGTGCCGAGCACCAGAGGGCGTGTCGGGATTTTGTGGATAACAAATGAGAAGAAGAGTATGGCTACGCACTCTGCGGCTCTTCGGTGGAGTCTTATTTGCCTGGACACCCAGTGGCTCACGTACAAACACCTTCGGTGTTCAATTCAGTCATCTTACTCCTGCGAGAATGTCTTTGGCGCCAGGCAATTTGTTTGGTTGATTCCGCGTTATCTCCTCGCCTTGCATGAGCACTTTCTCCTTTGTGGGACAAGCAAACGTACAGAATACCAGGGGTCCAGGTCTCAATGGCCTCAATCCGCTGGACTCATCTCAACTGATGTTTCATCAGGCGAGTCATAGTTCAAACCCCGGCAGCAGTTTGACCGTCTTTCCCCTGCCGTGGGCCACTTCAATCCTCTCTGCATTCAGTCTATGCACTGATATGGCAGATGGTTGGAGGAGAGGTTCCAGAAGCCGGCGTGTATTGGAAACCCGGACGGCTACAGGGATGATATTCATCAGGGACCCATAGGACGTGGATTGGGCTGACATGGACATTAAAGGGTCTCGCACAGAAAAGCACACTTGTGGGACCTACTTGACAGGTGACGATGCTGACTTAGCGGTTCTTTGGTTTTGGCACAAGCTCGATGGTGGTACATTCAGTGGTGGGCTTTCTAAGCGCGGTCTCCGTGAGTATGATTGCTGTTCACTGTTTCTAGTTCACCTTGGCAGTTTCATCCGCCCCCAACTTCGCGTCCTTTCATTACAGAGAGGCCGGCTACGGTGTTCTCGCTGCATTTCAAACAGCTTGCTCCCACCTCGTCAACCCGGGTTCTCGGACAACGTCGTTTGTGTCGGGAAGTGGTCCTTTGACGGGTCTTGGTGTCAATCAAGGACAAGCTCATGTTGGAATCGGGATTCTGCGTTCCTCAGGTCAAACACTGCAAAGACCCGTCTTGGAATTTTGCCACATTTCTTTCGCTTATTCTTCACCGCACTAGTTTGTTTTCAAACGCATCTACTCTTTTCGGCCCAAATGTATGGTTTCTTGTGATCCAGCGTTTGACATGCACCTCGTCTTAGGTTTCTACCACACTCAGAGGCTTGCTGCTCAACTGAAGAATCACAGTGGACCTGTTGGACGGCCGTTGCTTGCTGTGAATTACAACTCCTGCGGGATGTAGTAATAGAGGTTCTCCCAGCCTCGAGTGCAGTAAGCAAATCTCGACCGCCTGACGATTCGTTGGGGATCCGTATTTTGGGCATACCACTCTGGTGTGTCGGTGGTTCTTAACTTGGCTGCTGCATCGCTGGTGAAGACTTCATCATTTCTTGGTTCCGTTGTAGATGTGTCGCAGCTAGTTAATGCCCTTCCAGGAAGATAAGCGATCGTTAATACGGTATAGATCCTAGCTCGAAGAGCAGTCGACCTAGACGTCTTTGGACGCACGAGGAATCTCGGGACAATTTCGCATGGTGCTACCTTGGTTAAGATCTGTTGGGTTCACATGTCCCTCACTGCTCTTCGAGAGTAAGAGCGATGATTGGTAGATGGTTCTCGGTCGCGAGTGTGGATGGAAACCTACCGGTTGTTTCGACCGGTAGTGATTACATGGGGAGCAGGAGCGAGTGCATGAATGTGGTTTGAGGTTCTTTGGACCACATCGTAGCGGGGGATGCCTATCAATGGCTTCGAGAGTGGTTTGAGCAGTGACTTGGTGTTCTTTGAATGGAATATTGACTCGGTCGTGCTGCGGAGACTGACGGAAGTCAACTCTGGATAGCCTTGGGGAGGACATGCAAGGTCTGAAGATCCGGAACAGGCTCGCAGAATTTTTTATCTTTCTTTGCTTTCGTGGCAAACCTATGCTTACCTTGAGGCTGTGAATGCCGCCAATTGCATGATATATATTCATTGGTGGAACTTATGTTTTGATGTTATGCACGAAAAAAGGATGCAACAGAGGGGAGTCGAACCCCTTTCCCGGCCACGCACAAATGGGAAGACCGGATCATAACCGTTAGACCACTGTTGCCTCACCAATCCGGATTCTCAACTAGATGTTATTTGTAACTAGATATTGATGACAGTTCACACAACCACTCCTTCTCTTGATGACTACGGAAAATAAATTTTCAAGGAGGTAATTCTGAACATGGAATATTTTCTTACTTGGGGAATGGAGGAGTAAACATTGTGATGTTTGCTGAAGATGTGCTTGTCACTAACAATATGAGGTTTGCACCTACTCAAAACTCTTCAGCCTTTGTCATTGGGATTCGGGAAAAGCAAAGCCCATGGAAGTGGCAGCTTTGGCATGGTCCCCATGTCATGCTGAAGCCTCCCTCATTTTTGTTCGTTCACCAAAGAGTCAGATCTGGTTAAGATGCAGAGAAAGTCATATAGACTCGACCCTTATACTTGTCTCTACGTCTTTACCTGCTGTTTGAGTATGTCTTGGTGCTGTTCTTGATGATCTGATACAGAATCACACTGAAATCCTCTCCAGTTGTTATTTTGCACTTGCTTCTCTCTCAAAGAAGTACTTATTACTTTAAAACTGTGTTCAAGGTTGAATGGAAGTGAATCAATACAAAGTTCACCGAAGGTTCAGGGCAGAGAGTCCCTCAAAGTCTCAAAATCGAGCATTTTCTAAGAAATCCGAAGTACGCTGTTGATGTATTCCTAACAATCATAATGGCAATGTACCGCGTCCCTTTGGATTCGTTCTCTTCTAATCAGATGCACTCCCAAGTCAATGGTTTATGAGAGCCAGGGACGAGTAACAAATTCCCACTAACGTGTTTCCTATATTACAAAAAAGTCTATGCAGAGTCTATGTGAAAAAAAAAGAACACCAGTCTGTTCCAGCCCAACTAAGAAGTGGAAAAAGAGAAATAAAATCCGGAAACGAGCCACTGACTCCGAAATCAATTAGCGTGTCCGTTCGCGCCATTCGTAGTCGGCATAGACGTCTGAGACGCGCTTCGTCCCCCCAATGCCTGCTGAACAGTTCTACTAAGCACCTCCAACAACGGCTGAACCTTGACCGAAACCTCATGCGTTACCCTCGTCGCCTTTTCGTTCATCGACACATTCTCTGCTGCCATGATACTACGCAACTCCGACACTGTCGAGGCTAAATTGCTCGACAAGTCTGCATACGTAGCAGAAGCGGCCGAGGCCTGAGCGTGAAGTACAGACGTTACCTCGATGTATCTCTGTTGGATCTGCGGGGGAAACTGAGCCGTTGGGTCTTTAAGAGTTTTCGAGGCGGTGGCCTGGAGAGATGCAGAAAGAGAGGCAGCTTGGGCTTGGAGCTTACCCAGCTCGGCAATCATGTTTTCGGACACAGTATGCAATTTAGCTTGGGCATTCGAGAGGGACGACGAGGCGGTAGCACTGAGGGAACGGGCAGTCTCCGTAGCGCTTTGACTGTAAAACGACCATGAGTACATAGTTGCAATGATACAGAAAGAGATTGATCATACACAAGAACAGAGTGAGCCTGAAGTTGCTTCATTTGCTCATTTGAGTAGAACTGGAGCTGATCTCTAAGACGAGTCGATAGCTCTAGGGCGCGTGAATACTGCGAAATCTGACTCTGCACATCTTTGTCAACCGAAGCACTGTTCTCCTTAGCATTGGAGTCAATTCGGTTCACAGCAACCTCCAAATAATCCACAATCGGAGTAAATTTCTACGAAAAGCGATAAGGGTCTGAAACAATCGACAACAGAGCCCTAGCCGACCTTATCAATATTTTGAGCGATAGCACCTGCACTTTCTCGCCTTTCCCTGACATATTCACCTACATCCTTTTGTCTGTTCTGGACATATCCCATCACATCCTCAGGAGTAGCCGTGAACGCATTGGGATACCTCTTCTGCACTGCGTCAACAGCTAGATTAGCGTAGGAATCTGCGCGGACGATAAGAGGAGCCAGCTGAGCTTGAAGCGGTTCCGTAAGTTTATACGCGGAATTAGACAATCCCAAAGCTCTCGTATATGGCGAACGTGTGTACGCGTTGGTGGATAAGGTGCCATTGACTATTTCCAGCGAGGATGAGATGAGAGGAATAGAGCTTATGCGGGAGATTACTGTGAGTTCTGGAGGGTTTTGAGAAGGAGGTGAGGGCATTGGAATCGTAGAAGTTTCTGTCTGGGTAGAAGACATAGTAGTTGATAGAGAAATTTTGGAGTCGATACTGAGGGCATTTATTCGATAACGTTTTCATGTGATTGCTTGCGCAGTGAAATTATCATGTGTTTTTACGCGTTCGCGACCCTGATTCGCGACCAGTCCTCGTTATCTGGATCCTGTATCTTCTTGCAAAGGTGGCGAAAAGATGAGCACTCGACTACCCTAGATTCTGAAGAAGTGAATTCAAATATTTTGCGAACGTCTGATAGTTTGCGAAGAAACAGGCGGTTGCAAACGATAATGCCTGGGAATCTGCGTGTTTCTCCGTTTTTAATATTTATCATACAATCAGTGCATGGTCAAAACCAACTCCAGATTTTGATGATTACTCCCATCGGTATAATTCCCTTCGAGATGCACTGAGTATCTCTTGAGGACTCACTGCTATGACTGCCGACACGGTTATAATCACTCATTTCTCCTTCGTACCCTTACCGACGGAGGGGTTTTATCGTATTCGAGCTCGATAGTAAGTTTTGTAAAAGTTCGCAAGACCGCAGGATTTGCATATAGACAAGCGTTCAATACATTCATGATGTCGTCCCTCCTTCATGAGCATGCTGTCCTGTTCAATCATTGCGTCAAGGTACTCATGTTCTACAGGAGTTGCGACAAGTACACGTGTTGAGGGATCTGGCACAGTAGAGTCAATGTTAATCTCAAAGTACGATAATCTGAACAAGTTTGGAGTCACCCTTAGCTTTGATCGAAGAGCGACACTTTTCTGGCCAATGAGTTTTCTCGCATTCAGCAGAACAGTAGCAGGTCGATTCGCATCCAGAGCAGAGCATTGGTAGGTCGAACCTAGTTTTCGGGCACTGAGAAGGGTAATGTAGATGGGCATTGCAGAAAGCCAGGACAAACTCGAGAAACAAACGTCCAGTCACGCACATTTTAGTTTCTGCACAAAGAATAAGACTTCCAACGAATTCTTCAATGCCTTTCCCCTTCCTTTGAATGCGCTACTGTCCATCAACGCCTTATGCCTCACCCAGCAATCACGAGGTACATCGATGCCCTCTCTCAATACCTCTACTACGATTCCTCTTGCGACTGAACGATGTATCAAGAACAACGAATAACTTCAAGCAGATTCAAATGTCGGCCCAGCGAGAAAAAGCAGAAGTCAGAGCTCTTGATCGGTAGTCTCGAGTACAGCGAGCCTATACGTAGAGAAATTAGATGCTAGGGCTGAGCCAGAGTGAAGAAGGACTGGCAGTAAATGAATTAGACTAGCTCGCTTTCAGTAGTCTTCTTAACTAGGCAACTGTCAAAGCTGTATATATGTGACTATTTACCCACAGTATTTACTTCCAATTTAAGAAGATCATTCATTACCTTTTGAGCAAGATGTCTGTGAAGTTTCTGATTACACGGATTAAAGATGAGTAATTTCCAGTCTCTCTCTCGTATGTACTTGCCTTTGAGGTTGGTGAGTCCAGGCTGAGTATTGATTGGAAGATGTTTTACCCTGTGTCCTTGGAAACCAAGCCCAAATGCACAAATACATCGCACAACATTTACCGTTACATATAGATAGACGTGGCCAGCCTCAATATGGAGTCTAGATACAAGCTAATCCTAATCGTCTCTGGCAATAAGCCGAGAGCCGTCAATGTCTACCCAGCTGCTTCTCTTCGTCCTAAAAGATACAGATTCGAAAACCTCAACACAGCTCCTTAGTATATTTGAAATATAATTCGCACTCACACTCTCTTTGTCGTTGAAGACGCCCGAGGCTTTTGCACACGGTTCGTGAAAGCTGCATTTTCATTCCGATCTTGCAACGTTATCTTCAACGTCTTTACCTCAAAGCCACGGAAGTTCAGCTTGAGAACCACGCCGAGATCATTGTCATTCATGATTTGTACTTCTTCCTCTTCGTCCTCGTCCTCAAGCAGATTCGTCGTAACAGCCCTTGCAACTCGACCAGAGAAATGGTTGCCAATGACGACAATCGCGTGGGCATGTCCGCCGAACGCTTCGTACAATCGCGCAATGACAGTTGTGGAAGACTCTGATTCAAAGGATGCATTGAAATCATCATTTTCCCCGCGCTTTATGGTTTCTAGGATGACGTTCGGGGCTCCGTGGATTGCAAACGATGGGTGATTCATAGAGGATGCTGCAATAGCGTCCTTGTCACCAGGAATGTAACGAACTAGGAACATATAATTCGGTCATTAGTGAGAGTTGGCTTGAAAAACCATACACGGGGAAGGACTGACCATGCATAGGCGAATTGAAGAGATATGCCGCCATTGGGACATCAGACTCTAGGAAGTGTCCTTTGTGTGGCATTACGGCCCAGGAAAACTTGTGTTCGCCTAAAGTATGACGATGAAGTATATTCGCAAACGCAGCAGATGTCACTACAGACCTTGGTCCTGCTCAGCGTCTGGAGCAGTTGCAGCCCGAAGTAAAGAGATGCGCAAAACATTACCCTGGCACGAAAACCCATACTTCGACTCAGACAATATTGCCAAGCCGTATCCGTACTCGCTCAAGTCAGCGTACTATGGGAATCATGTAGCACATTAGAGATCAGACGAAGAGCCGCCCATACCTTATGTCCACAGACTTCGAACTGAGAGAGAACTCAGACTAAAATAGCGTAGATCGACTGAAAATTACTAACCTTGGCCATATCCCACGTAGTATTTTTATGTGTAGGGCGTTGCACATAACCGAACTGAGTTTCGTAGTAAGCGTTATCGTTGTGAATATTCAGGGGAAGCTCAACTAAAGGCAATTGAGCAATTGATGCTGGTTAGCTGACCAATTTTTCGAGGGCGACTTACATTTGAGGAATTGGTGTCGTTCTCGCCAA